TTATTATACCAGTATTCCTTTTTATATAATTTATTATAGTCTATCAAGTAAAGTTTAGTGAAGAATGAAAAGGCGCATGTTAGAAGCGTGAGAACCGGATTTTCTTTTATTACCCACGAGCTTACAGAACTTGTATCACCTATGGAGTATATAAGTGAAACTCGAGATCTAGCGAAGATGTACTAAATTAACACCCCATGAATCATATTTTTGTCCTTACCATTCAACATATAATAAACTGCCAATAGAGAAGTATCCCAGCCAACAAACAGATTTGTGTTCAAACTCGGCTTGGAAATCAACACCGGATCATCACTCACAGCTCCACTAGAGATGGAATTCATAGTCGAAACCAAGTTCCACGGGTTGTTAGGATCATCATTAAAATTTGCAATTTCCAAAGAAATTGGTTCTTCGGGTCTCAGAAGCAAATGTAAGGAATGTGCAAATGCTATTACTATTAAGCCGAGGATCAGTAAGAAAGAGAAGACACGAACGGCCACGCCAAGGATGATAGCGAAGTAAACACCAAAAAATCTGATTGCTCGGAAAAAAAAGCAAAAATTTCACTTCCATCAAAAGAATCGAGATTGTCACAATCCAGGTAGGCATTTCTTGATTTTGAAGCCAGATGATTGAGGAAGCTATCGGAAATAGGTAGGCTCCGATATCTAAATGAACACAAACTGGGTTGTGAATGTTTTGTGTTGCATGATTAACGACGAGAATGAGTTGAATAAATACCAAATGCGTTCCAAAGGTTAGTGACATAACCCTTCGGAGTGATGGTAAATTGTCTAATCTCGACCAACAAATGAAGACATCCAAGTAAAATTGTTGTAACCAACAGGCCGCTCGCCACACTCCAATTAATCTGATCCTCAGGAATTGTGGCTACAATGGCAAAACTTAAGAGAAACAGGGTATAAACAAACCAAATCGTATAATAATAATATTTTCCAAAGGTATTCCACTTGTGGTTCAACAATGCCTCGCCATTCCACCAATGATACACTTCGTTTGATGTGACCGGGTTAACGAAAGAATTTTTCATGGGAAAAAAGAAATCCCAAATTCCCCTAGTGTTTTTAGGATAAGTCGAGTATTTTGGCAAGGGAATCATGAGTTTGATGGTGGGTTGAAAGTACAGATCTGGATTATAATATCTTTCATAGAATTGATAAATCAAGACTGGCCACATTGGAACAAAGAGAAAGGTGAAGAATGTATGGAAATACGGGTGCCTTTTGGAAAACCTTTCGGATGCATTTTTAATATTATTATATGTCCTGGTCGCATATGATGCTACATATAAATGATTTTCCTTTCCATAATGTTGCAAGTGCGACGCTGTTGATAAATTATTAATGATCTCGCTTTTCTCTGTGTGCGGAAGCTGCAGTGCAAAAGTTGCCATAAATTTGGTTACAAAGGAAGGATGGCGTTGACACAACGACGGAAAGGAGGCAATAACTATGCTTAAAAATCCCAATTGCATTGGATCTTCGGCATATTTCTGAGAACATTCTTCGCACATAGATTCAATCCAGTTGTCTTTATGATGGAATATCATACGCTTAAGAAGGTATTCTCCATGGAAGGCTAACAGTTCGTGAGTATGAATGTAGTCATCTAATAATTCACGGAATGGTTCGGATCTATCTTTATCTCTTCCGACAGAAAACTTTTCGTAGTATAAAAGTATGTGATCGAAATCGGGAGAGGGAAGTGTTTGTCCAGTAAAGGTTAATTTTAATGACTGGATTTTATAAAGAATATTCGCTACCCCAACGTGGGTCTTTTCATATTCTGCCTCCGTATCACCCCAAAAATAGAATAGTCGAATTCCTTTGGATGTCACGGTCCATATAAAGATTCCCATGGGTGTGATAATTGCAAGATCATCGTTATACAAGAGTTGGCATTGCACCACGAAATCTAGACGACTCTCTCGTTCAATGTGACTTTCTGGAAGGATGTTTCTTGGTTTCCCTATCGGTGTCCATATTTCTGTTGTCACGTTAAATTTACTTACTCCTATTATAACCTTGTCCGAACCACAATCAACATCCCATTTGTATAAGTGCCCTCTGTAAGAATCTTTTCCTATCGGAGTTCTCGCTACCCATTCCGAATCGTCAACGGTTAATTTGTAACTATATATGCCGGCAGCGTCCCTGATCATCTTTTCCAATATCATACCACTTGGTGGAGCATTTATTTCGTTATAGTCGTGTAATGCTTCTCGTAGATAGTTTATCCAATCATGTTTTATCAAATTTTGAGCCCGAGGTTGTCTGTCGTGCACTCCATAAATGATACTATCCTTGACTATGCACGGGTTAAAATATACGTTGCCCTCGTGCTCTAATTGGAATAGTATTCTAGCATCCGCCGGATCTTTTAGGGTCCAAGGGTCCATAATTTCGTAGTTATTTTGTTCGTCATCATCCTTATTCCGGAATATCACAAGCAACCGCTCGGCGATATCAGAAGCAATAAAGTGTGCTTGATCTATGATTGCGTTGTTTTTATATGTATCTGTTGGAAATTTGGGATTAATCAGGAGAGGCATCGAGAATTATAACAATTGTCATTCAGGTATGAATAAAAAACTCACACATATTCACTTTGATCCCGCGTTCCACCGAGTAAACGTAGATTTTGTCATCGAAAGTGTTAGTACTGAAATCTTTGGGAGACCTTCCGAATACCACCAACAAAGTTTTGTTTTCATTGAATCGAGCACTGACCGTATCGGTCCTCAACGAACAATCCAAGATATATTCTTGTTCAAATGACAAGCTTTCTAAATCCCACTGATTGATAGTGTGTATAACCCTCTTATTAATGATCAATAGCTTCCCGTCAAGAGTAATGATGCAATCTACAAAGGACGTGAGCTCAATCATATTCTTGAGCTTATATTTCTCGAGGGCGAAAGGTCCTTTTGAGGGGATTGGTGCAAACACGTATGCCCTGTATTTGGGTTCTCTTAAGATCAACACAAAATTTCCGTTCTTCTGGTACAGCCATCTATACGATGGAAACTCATCAATACAAGGTGCCCTTATTATTATCTTTCTTCGGGTCTCCAAGTTAATGACCTCTAATATGTTAGATGCATTTACGTAACTTGTAAGAGTTGCTAGTTAAAAACTTTCCCTGAATAAAAAAAATATATCTCACCAAAATTTACGGGGTCTTTCTTATCCCTTTTTTTTACCCTAATGGCAACATGCTTGGTATCGGACACCGCTACCAACTCTTCTAGCTTAAATTCGTCATTGAAATCATCGCGCAGAGAAATCGCCGCATCAAATTGTAACTCCATTTGTCCTTTAATACTTAACCATCCCGCAATAGAATTATCAGCTTCACTCCATGTGGCCACATATTTGTTATTCGGCGAGACCACGATGGAATTAATTTTTTTCCCACCGTGGCGAACATGGGATTGGGGAACATCGAGTATCACATCTGACTTTGGTTCATCTTTAATTACTTGAATTGCGGCAGTCTCCTTTCCACTCATCTTTTATGAGACTATTTATTTGGATCGAAATAATCAATTTATTATTATTAAACTTTACCGAGTGGCCAGAAACCTAAAATTTACCAACCCCGAATGTTTTTGGCATCAAATGAGAGAATCGCTTAAGGAAAACTCGCGCAAAAATTTCTTTGCAAAAAAGAAATTTAAAATGTATCGTTCCAAAAATTCCTTAAGTCTTCTTCATATCGAGGTTATGGCTTAGACGCGAACTTGCTCGAATTTTCAACAACAAAAAAAAGCCTTTGCGAAAGTCCAACATTTTTCGCATACTTTATTCAAAAATAAACATTTAACAAATATTACAATCTAAGTGAGGATTTCACTCAAAAGAATCCAATGAATTTATTTGTTTATAATTTTGAATTCTATTTTAAGCCATCGTCATAAGTCTTGTAAACGACTCATTACATATAAATAATACTTCACTCCTGCGTTTCTTCTCTCTTTCATATTTACACTTGTGGCTATTCCCCCTCGAGCGGTGCTCGTGCGCCTGGCTTATAATTTACATCGAGCCCCAAACAATCTATAGATTTTTGTGAAACATAATAATCTTAGATCAAATTGACTCACTCACTACAGTGAGTACGTACCTAGGTTTAATTGCAATATGCTATATCAAAATTAATATTCTTATTAAGATTTTAAGAATTGAATTTACAAACTTGCGTGTTATTTTATTTGTTATGTTTTATTTAAATATTTTTTTTTATCAAATTTTTAATTAATGCTTTAAAAAAAATGTTTATACTATATAGTAAAAACCTTTTTATTATACTTTTATTAAAAATAAGCTTAATTTATTTCTACGTATATACTGTATATTTAATATTTATATTTATTATATGGTGTGGGACACTTGTCATTGAAAAATTTTAATTAATTATAATTTAATCAAAAATTTTGCTAATTTAAAAAAAAATTTTTTAAAATATAATTAATGAATTATTAATAAATTTATTATAAAATTCTATTTTAACATTTAAAAAAAGTATTTTAAAAAGTATCTTATAAATTTAATAGAAAATTATATGTATATTTTATAAATAATAAATATTTTTAAAAAAGTTGATAAAAATTATAAAAAAATATTATAATTTAATAAAATATAGTTTTAATATAATATTTTATAAATTTTGTTCTTTTTAATATAATTTTTTAATATATTTAATAAAATAAATTAATAGAAAGTTTTTAAATTAATAAAATTATGAATTTTTGAATTTATAAATATATTTTTAACAACCTATAAGTTAATAGCATAGTGGTAGTACTCCCAGGTTACCAAGTACTGTTTTTGAGTTCAATATCACTGCAAGATGGTACCACCTAGTCTAGATAATACAAAAGATTCCATTTGTCTTATAATACTGATTACTACCATCTCTGATCAAGATCTTATCCAGTCATAAGATATCAAAAAGATTACAAGATGCTTTAATTGATTTTAGTGTTGAAGCCACCTCATTACAAGACAAGTTTTATCAAATTTCTACAAATAGATTAAAAATCTGCACAGTAATAAAAATGAAGAGACTAGTGGAGCTTAGACATGTTAATTAAAAAAGGATTTCTATCAAAATTAACATCTATCCAAAACTTTACATGGTCACTTCATAGATAGACTATAATAAATTATATAAAAAGGAATACTGGTATAATAAGGACATCTAAAACTCCACATGGATATTCTATAGGTATACTGTAATAGGTACTATAAAAAGAATATCCGGTAGAATGAGATATAAAAAAGATTCTATATTGCAAATCAATACCTGTAGAAATAAGGATTATGGAAGGGTAATACAGATATAGATAATGAAATAGTAGGACTTCTTTTAGTAACAAGATATGGGAGTACCATGAAATTATAATTGGTTTATTGTTATAAGGATAAATGATCCAGATAATTATAGGTTTAATGTAATATGTGCAATGTTAGGAAGTCATTTCATCATCATGTATCTTAGTTAAAGGAAAACTTTATTAAATGTAAA